TTAATTTATTAAATATCTCGTGACAACTAGTCTGTGCAGCAAAATTTTGCTTTCTAAATATATATTTGAATATTAATTTAAATATAGATTGTATTAAGAGATTGATTTCATTACAGTTAATTGATAATTGACATTACAAATCTTGTACAATTTTATTCGTAATAAGAGTTCAAATAGATAATTTCGGGATAACAGTTATGGCAACTTAATAAGTACATCTTTAAATTGCAATAGTGGGATAAATTACAAATTTCAAAGCTTCTTACTATCGCTAAAGTTTCAACGGGAAACTTTTATTTAAGAACGCGACTGCGGAGGCTTGTCAGCCCCGTTTCGTTCCCGTCGAGTTTAACTGCGGCTAATTTCGTATAATAATTGTACCTTATAAAGGAGATTTTGAATCTAACATAAACGGTGTTCATCTCGTATTTATCATCGCTCCGCTAGAGATGGACAACTCTACTTTTGGTATCGTAGCGAAATCTAAATTTGAACACTATGCGACGCGAATTATCACGCTCGACAATCGATGGGGACAAATGGTATAATTGTAATCGTATAAAATAATTATTCGGACATATTTACATAATATTAATTTTGGAAGATTTTTCGAGCAATTTTTATGATGGAAATTATATTTACTGCCAAGTTACGATCACAGCAAACTCTCTTACCATTGAAAATTCAATATTGGTAGTTCAAGTAATACCATTAAATTTTCCACAAGAACAGCAGTAATAAAATTTCCAATATAGTCGTTTTAATACTTTCAACGGCACTTAAACCAAGACACACAATTACAGTTTAATAGTCTTTAGTCCTTCAATAATAAACAATGATTCTTCATTTGACTTTAAAGATTGCAAGGGATGATCGCAAACAAGTACGTTCCGACCGTAACATGCACGTATCTTTCTTTTAACCAAAAGCTAGCCTACCATTCGTATGAATTTTGTATCGTAAACAACATTTATTTACATCGTTCTCAACCACCCTCCGGTCTCGTCACGAGCGCGCCAATATTAACACACGCGCGCAAACAAGAGACAATCCAGACGGGACCGATATTTTTTCCGTCGCATGTCGCCGCGCCGCGACGACAACGACAACGACTACGGCGACAACGATGACGACGATGCGCGCGGATTTAACTAATAAGAGCAATTAATGCCGGAGGTAGTAGCTGGAGGGTGGTTTGCCCGCCATGGCATGTCTCTCTCGCCTGGCGGTCGCCTCGGTCAATACCCACCGGACAAGATGGCCGACGCCCACTCCAACACAAACTCGGAGTTACATACATTTATGTACTCAAATGTATAACCCACCGCCACCCCCCCCTCCGGACGGAGTTGCCTTTCTCCTTCCGCCGGCTTCAACCCTCCCCGGTCTCGGCAGCCACTCGGCTACACGGACACCGAACTTCATCATTATTATCTCGCCGGCCTGGTACCTACCTTCCTACCGCCGAGTCTGAATTTTGCAAAAGCCGCGCGGAACTCGCGCCTCTAACGATAATATTGAAGCGGAAGAGAGTGCGAAATTTGGGTGGATTAATCGCATATGTGTTGCGATATATTACGCGCATTATTTTTCCAGCGATAAAGTGAAATTGTTTCACGCTGTTTCCGGGCTACGGAAAATTCAGATATTGTTTATGTTCCTCCGGATATTTAAACTAATTAAATTTAATACTATTTCCTTGTTGCAGTTTATACTTACTCCGCCGCACTATAGTTACGTTATCCGAATTTAATTACATCAAGTGAGGGTTAATTTGAGGTTGCTGTCAATCAGCACGACATGATGAAACTTAATTAGTGTTAATAATTATCGGATAACTGTCTAGATTTAAATATATGTATCGAAAGTATTTCATATTAATTCTACGTAGCTAAAAATACACATTTCTAGCACGATATAATCGAGAAGCCGTAAAGCGGTCAGCCTCAATTTCACATTGATTGTGAGTCTTAAAATTTTATCACAAGTCCAACATATCTATTATCATCATTTTAAAGCAAACGATTGTCATATATTATATATCAAATCGATATTCAAGTCAATCGTACATTCAATCGTCATGCTTTTCAAACGTTTGGCAATGTTTGTACAGT